GGGGAAAGGTGGACCTTCAGGAAAGCATGACTGACTGCTCCTCCTGAAACCTCGCTTTAAGAAGTTAAAGGAGTTTTTAGAAATATAAAGTCCATAAAGGATGAAGAGAAGTAGGAAAGACACAATAGCAAATGAGAGTCATCAAGAACATTTTGGAAGCTAGAAAAGGGAAAGAGTGATAACTAACCTATCAAGACCAAGAAAGTTGAAATCCAAATCTGCCAGGGAGAACCCATCAGGAAGCAAGCTGATAAAGACAGAAAGTAGAATAATGGTTGCCAACAGCTGGGGAGGGGGAAATGGGGAGTTAATGTTTAATGAGTACTGAGTCTCAGTTGGAGATGATAAAAAAAGTTCTGGAGGTGAATAGTGGTGATTATTACACACTAATGTACTTAATACCATGGAACTGTACACTTCAGAATGGTTACAGCAGTAAATTTTGTTATTATATTTTACCACAATTTAACAAAAAAAAGCAGCAGCAAGGTGAATCATGCTGGAAAGATTCAGGTAGTGTAGGCACAGTGAAGACAAAACACAGCATGGGGGTGGAAACCCTATGACTGGTTGTAAATTCTTATAAGTGGCCTCCCCATGAAAACCAATCTTCTCCCTATCCCTGATAAGAGTATGGAGATGCACCTCTGGAGAGAGTGAACAACAGACCCCAATCTTAGGAACACAAGTCACAACTGAAGCAAGACAAAATGCCTTACTGAAAAAGAGAATTAGTTGAAATTCTGCTTGGGATGCAGAAGGCTATCTCCCAGAAGAAAACGGAGCTGACTGATTACTTAAGGTGTCCAATCATATTGAGTTGTTTTAGATTTGTTAAATAATTATAAGTGAATTAATAATAAGAAAAAATATTAAACTGGGATAATTATCTGGGAAAACAAAATATAATTACAGTGAATTTTGTGACTCAGCTGTGAAAAATATTTGCATAGTCTTAATAAACACTAAACTACCCCCAAAGTCTGATATCCTATAAAAAGAAGATGAGAAAAAGGGAATTATGTATAAATGTTGGTGGGCAGTAGAGAGATTAAGATAACTAATCTTCTTCCTTCTTAGATAGAAGTCAGTAGCTACTGTCTAAAATGAAAAACCAACAAAAAGCAGAACTGACTTAGAAAAATGAAGGCAATGGCCGGGCATGGTGGCTCACGCCTGTAATCCTAGCACTTTGGGAGGCCAAGGCGGGTGTATTACCTGAGGTTGGGTGTTCGAGACCAGCCTGACCAACATGGTGAAACCCCATCTCTACTAAAAATACAAAAATTAGCTGGGTGTAGTGGCAGTTGCCTGTAATCCCAGCTACTTGGGAGGCTGTGGCAGGAGAACCGCTTGAACCCAGGAAGTGGATGTTGCAGTGAGCCAAGATCGCACCACTGTACTCCAGCCTGGGCGACAGAGTGAGACTCCATCTCAAAAAAGGTAGAAAAGAAAGAAAAGAAAAGACAAGGAAAAGAAGAAGGAAGGAAGGAAGGAAGGATGAAGGCAAATATCAGAATAACTAAAAGAACTGAAACTGAATGTGTTGTAAAGATTAATAATTGGAGGTAGGATGGGGAACTGCTGCTTTTATAAGCCTTGTAATACAATTTGACTTTTTAAACTACAAGTGTACAAATATCACTTTAATTTTAAAATAAATACAAAATTAATTTGGAAAGGTAACCAGAAGATTTCGTTTCGAAGATCTAAAATTGTCTACACTAAGTATACATTATTTTTTCCAACTATCATTATTAATTTCTGTTAATTCTTAGGACTTCCAGCAATAGTGAGGCCAATTATAATAAATGCCTTTCTTGGAGTACAACTCATTAACTGATACGTCATTCACTAGAAAAATACTTTGGGAATGCAGCAATTCTAAAGCCTATCTGTTTAAAACCACACCTTAAATACTGTATTTCCTTTCTTTCTTTCAAATATGTAAAAATACATATTTGGGTATATTTTATAAAAGCCTATATTATTTGCAACTCTTGGGTCAATTCCAAATTTTGACATTTTGAATGACTAGCATTTGTAAACACCAGTGATAGTAGAGTTATCAAATGATACAAATGGACAAACTGAAAGGTCACCTCATGGAAAAATATACAAAGTAATAAATATGCAAAAAAAAAAAACAGTAAACGATCTTATCTGCAAGAACTGCAGCAACTTGTAACTTTTTTTTTTTTTTTTTGAGACAGAGTTTCACTTTTGTTGTCCAGGCTGGAGTGTAATGGCGCAATCTCAGCTCACTGAAGCCTCCACCTCCAGAGTAGCTGGGATCACAGCCATGCGCCACCACGCCCGACTAATTTTGTATTTTTATTAGAGACAGGATTTCTCCATGTTGATCAGGCTGGTCTTGAGCTCCTGACCTTAGGTGATCTGCCCACCTCGGCCTCCCAAAGTGCTGGGATTACTGGCATGAGCCACGACACAAATTCATCAACTAAACATAATCTAATGAATATACTTCTACACAGTCAAAACCAAGAACCTCATCCAGAAAAAGAAAATGTTTAAAAAGAAAGATTAAAATCAAGAGATTAAAATATCACATTCTACTACATTTTTTAAAAATTAATGAAGTTCTGTTCATATAAAGATAAAAGCTATGCACCTTGGTTTCCTTTCCCAGCAGTACTAATGGACTGTGTTGATCTACAACATAGAGTTGCTCAATTTCATGTGTCAACTATAAAACAAATTTGCAAATAATGAAACAATTAAAAAGAACATTAAAATAATATTTGTCTTATTATTTACATTGCACACCCCTATAACCAGACAGAAATAGCGTCAGAGATACAGCAACCAAAAAAGTTCCCCAGTATTTATCACTGAGTGCCCATTATGCGTGGGAACACGACAGAAAGAAATGCATATGAGACAAGACTCCTGCACTCAAGGAGTTTGAAATTTAGTAATGCAGGAGAGGGGGTAAGAAATATGTTGGAGTAAGGCTGTATCTAAGTGTATTTTTTGTTGCTTATTACAGAATACCTAAAAGTGGGCAATTAATAAGATATGAAATTTATTTCTTACAGTTTTGGACGCAGAGAAGCCAAAGGTCGAGGGGCTGCATCTGGAGAGAGCCTTCTTGGCTTATAGTGTCTCTCTGCAGAGTCCTGAGGCAGCAGAGGGCATCACATGGTGGGGCTGAGCATGCTAGCTCAGGTCACTCTTCCTCTTCTTATAAAGCTACCAGTCCTACTCCCATGATAACCCATTAATCCATTAATCCATTAATCCATGAATGTATTAATCTATTCATAAGGGCAGAGCCCTCATGACCTAACCACTTCTTAAAGGCTTTTCCTCTCAATATTGCCACTTTGGGGATTAAGTTTCAACATGGGTTTTGGAGGAGACAAACATTCAAACCATACCAGGCTGCCAATATTAAGATATTAAAATAATTCATGAACAATACAAAACAGTGAAATGACTAATTAAACTATAAAACTGAAATTTAGAGAAGGGGAAGATAATAGAGGGCTTGAAAGAAGTAGGCACTGAACTGGGCCTAAAAAAGAGTCTTTCAAATGCTATAAAAGAATTTGAAAAGATATGGGATATTAGGGAGAATGAACACTCTCTCTTTAGATTGTGCTATATATTTACATTTTTTATAGTGAAATATTAGAGGGAAATGTATAAAAAAAATCAAAGAAGAATTATCTGAAAGAGAACTACCCAGAAAAGAAAAAATAAAGTTGTATACAGAAGGAAAATTACCCATAACTAAAAAAAAATTATCCGTAACTTTAAAATATATATATATATTATATATATAATGTATATCAATAAATGTTCACATTTAGCCTCATTCCATTATTTGAGAGAGAATAAGAGTAAAAGCATTAAAATCCCACTTCCACAATGAGAAACTGACAAAAAGAGATAAATTGCAGTTGGCAACAGAACTACATAAGGACAGCAGCTGACACGTCCTAATTTCAGTCCTATCCTATAACCCTACAATGCATTATATACTATACTTCATAGTGCTAAAATGAATTGTTTTATACCACATTTGCTTTATTATCAAAGTCAATTTCTTATATCAACCAAAAACACTAGGAAGTGATAGGTAATATTTTAAAAAGATGTCAATTTTTAAGGAAGTATGTTGTAATACACCACAGCCAATGGGTCTCACTTAAGATCATAAAACTTTTAAAACTAGAACCATGGCCTTTTCAGTAAACTTGAGATATGTTACTATCTCAATGCATCCACTAGCCAACAGGACATTTTTTAACAGTTAGAGGAGAGGGTGGTGTTCAGATGGGAGCTAAAGTCATAGTTCCAAGGAACTTACACCAAAAAACATTTTCAGTGTTTTATCTAAATTATTTTGGCTGTAAGCTGTCAGCTACATGAATAGAGACTGAAAATAAAGAAAACATCATAAAATAATCACATTCATGAAATGCACGCGTTATTATGCCATACAGTTATTCATCACAAACTTATTAGCATCCTCAGAAATTACAATCAATACTATCTTTACATCCAAAATAAAATTTCCCTTCTCTAAATTGATAAGATCTTATTAGCTTTCCACACCTATAAATGCCATCAATGTTTACTGGTGTCCACCAAACTAGATTAATACTCACTACAAACTGAAAAGCACTCATTAGTCCAGCATCTATCACTCATGGTCCCTTACAGTCTCACTTTCTTCTCTTTCCCCACACCAAGAACAGAAGATTCTTAAGCTCTTCCACTACATTCCCACCTGAAACATCCCTGGTAACAGTCAAGTGCTCCCTCCCACTTTCACAGGGATCCACTATAGAATTAACTGACCCCATTTACTTAGCAAACTAAAGGATGTAACTCAGTTTCCTACCTATATTTTTATGTGTCCACATGTGATTAGGAGGAGCAGGGCATAGGAGTTTTGAATGGAGGCACAAATGAGCCAAAGACAACCTTCTACCCTCTAAAATAGCTGTAGCATAATACAAAAAGCAAACATGGAGCAGATGACCAGGGTCTTAATCCCAGCTCTGCCACTTTACGTAGAGTTGAGTGATCTTCACTTAGCATCTCAACTTGTCAGGTTCAGCCTCCAAAGGTGTATATCCAGGAAAGTACTTTAACTAAGCAGAGTCTCTGATGATGAAAAAGAAAAAGAAGAGGAAGTGGAGGAGGAGGAGGAAGCAGTACTAGTACTAATAGTAGTACAAGTAGTAGAGGTGATGGTAGTGATGATGGCAGTGAGGGTAGTAACAATAAGGCTACAACACAGAGGCTCTTGTGATTCTGGTAAATGACCAAGGAAAAAATATGAATTGTTCTATAAACTGTAATTTTAAATCATATTTAACTGACACTTGTATGGTACTCACCGTGTGTGCCAACAACTGTCCTAAGCACTTTACAGTTTGTTTACTCATCATAACCACCTTATGATACAGTTATCAATATTATCCCCATTTTACAGATGAAGAAACTGAGTCACAGATTCAGTTACTTACCCAAGTCCCACAGCTAAGTGGTAGAGCCAGGATTCAAATCCAGGAGCCTGACTCCAAAATCTATTCTCTTAATTACTCCACAAAGCAGTCATGTAGTTATGGATGGATAATTATTTTTACTTACATTTACATAGGTTACGTGATTTTTAGTACATATCATCCTGATTATGTCTTAGTTTAACACTTAAAATTATATTATATGAACCTGTCAACAAAAAAACAATTATAATGGATATCAAGAGCATATCAGAAGCTCAGATCAGTGTTTCAACCAATCATATTCAGAAAATCAATAATGAATAGTAACATTCACTGAAGTATTTCATTGACCATTCAGGAATTTATTATTTTTTACTCTCTAAAAAATAATATCAGTGTATCAGTTCATACATACACACAAAAACACATGAAATACTGTATATTAAATTATTAGTCAGCTTCAATGACCACGTATCAGGCTAGTTAAATATATGACCAATCGTATATATCCTAATGGCCAGTTAGACACCTTTGAACTTTAGTTACATTTCAGCGATAACTATAAAAACAGTCTATACACACTTCCACAGCTTACCAAAAGTTAAATTATACAATTTAATTGCTGTCACCATGAAGTTTTATCTAATGCCGGATTATAGTCTTAACATTAAATTTTTCTAGTTGATAAAATACACGTAATAATTAATAGCATTAATATTTTAAAATATTTTTCCTAAAGAATACGGATCAGTCAGATGATGAAAGAAAAGGGAAGGAAAAAAAAGAGAATACTTCCCAAATTTATCAGCATAACTGTATTCTAAAATACTGGATAAACTCAAGAGACTACTAAAAGTAATTAATAGTTTTATGAAGGATCCAGGGTCAAACCAATTCAAGTGTTACAGAACCCAATTAAAACAAAATTAAATATAGTCTTTGGGGATACAGGACAAAAAACAAAACAAAACAAAACAAAACCCTACCAGACTTCCGGAACTCTTATTAACATTAAGACAATAAACTACATTTTGAAACAATTCCCAGAAGTGTTAATGCTCAAAGTGACTCTTCCCCATGAAAAGAAATTTATGCACGTCTTGCAAGCCAACTCAAATAGTCTTTGGGTAAAAATAAAAAACATCTGAAGACAACTTTACTGTCTCATAATTTTTTAAAGCACTAGGAGAAATTTTTAGGTTAGTAGAAAAACATTAAAGAAAACACGAAAATAAAATTAAGATAAGAAAAACTAATGAAACACTTCTGGAACAAGACATAGTGATTGGGGGTAGATTCCAACTAACCAAAGGTGAAAATAACAGAAAAAACATAAGGAACTAATGTGCAGAAACATTCTTGGAATCTGCATTGGAAATTAGTCATACAAAGTAATCATCACAAAATGAGGTCCAATATACTGGTTAAAAGCATAAAGAGTTTTTATGATATTTTTCCCATGCAAACTCAACGTAGACTTTTCCTCCACTACAAATACATAAAAGGTTTGTGTTGGTGCAATTTACTATGTCTTTTCTCAGACCTAGGATATTTTTGTATCCAATCTCAAATTCCAAGTAAGATGCTAACTGTACTCAAAATGTCGAGTTATTGGCAGAAACATAGTTCCATGTCTAATAGAACTTTTATGCCGTACTACAAGACTTTTAAGTGACATTCTTTTTTAGATGCAAGACCACCTATATAGTTAAAATAATAAAACTTGTAGAACACATTGTTTGATGATGTAATAAATCAAAAATTTTCCCTAGTATGAGAATACCACCTTAGTGCTTATTTACTCTATTGTTAGATTCTTATTATGTATTCCCTTTATTTTATGGAATTAGTATTTTAAGGTTAGCTATACAGTGAATCCTACTATCCCACCACCGTAAAAGCAGAGAAATGTTCCACAGAACTATATTACCAAACCATTAAGCCAAAAGTTGACAACTACAGAATAAAATTCACACTTCCTTTGCCTCCGTTTCCTCATTTGGTGATATTCAGTTTTTAGAAACGGAAACTGGAGAAATGAGAAAAGGAAATGGAAATTAGAAGAGGCCAGGCACAGTGGCTCACACCTGTTAACCTAGCACTTTGGGAGGCCAAGGTGGGAGGATTGCTGGAGGCTAGAAGTTTGAACCAGCTGAAGCAATATACTGAGACTCCATCTCTACAAATACAATACAATACAATACAATACAATACAATACAATACAATACAATACAATACAATACAATACAAAACAAATTAGGCTAGCATGGTGGCATGCACCTTTAGTCAGTCCCTGCAACTAAGGGAGGCTGAGGTGGGAAGATCGCTTAAGCCTCGGGGTTTGAGGCTGCACTAAGCTGTGATCACACCACTGTACTTCATCCTAGGTGACACAGTGAAACACTGTCTCTGGGAGATTAGATTTCTACCATCAGATGCACAACTGTAAGTAACTTAAAAAGTAGGGAACTGGAAACAGTTGTCCATTTATTTCCATCAGGTTGTAATTCTACCTTGAGGAAGAAGGAAATGTTATTTGTGTTTCTAAAGTTATAATGCACATTTTATGCTTATAGCATACATTAAGTAAAAAGAACATTACATTATGATAATCTATGAGAAAAAATATATTTATAATGGGATGCAACTGTTAACACAGCAGACTTAGGTTATTTTCCCTCTATAATGTATACAAATGTTCCTTGACTTATGATAGGATTACATCCCAATAAAGTTATTTTGGCGTCAAAAAATCAAAGGCAGAACCATCGTAAATTAGGGATCATCTGCACTTTGTTTTATTTGGTCTTCTTAAATAAATTCTCATTTCAGTCTCCCAGTTCTATGCTTTAAATTTCCTTAAAAACTTATAAATTTATTATTGTATTTCATTTTAGTTAGTTTTTTAGATGGAGTCTTACTCTGTCACACAGGCTGGAGTATACTGGCATGATCTCGGCTCACTGCAACAACCACCACCTGGGTTCAAGCAATTCTCCTGCCTCAGCCTCCTAAGTAGCTGGGACTACAAGCACATGCCACCACACTGCAGTCGTTTCTCTCATATTTATAATTACCAGACTGTATCTATTAATTTGTTTGCTGCTTGTCTGACTCATCAGAATAAAAGCTCCATCAGAACAGAGGTATGACTCCTGTTCCCTCCTGAATACTTAGCACCTTAAAAACTGTCTGGTATATAGGCATGCAATAAATATTTTGTATTTTTAGTACAGACGGGGTTTCACCATGTTAGACAGGCTGGTCTCAAACTCCTGACCTCAAGATATGCCCACCTCGGCCCCACAAAGTGCTGGGATTACAAGCATGAGCCACCGAGCCCGGCCGAATTTTAAAAATATGTGAAAGCAATTTAATACTAATTTTCATTTGGGGTTTAAAAAATAAAACCACTGGTGTTCTCGTTTCTATAAAATGGCTAAACTCTGCACCCCAGGGGTGATGTGGGGCATAAGAACCTGCCCTTCCACTCTGCTTTCTTCCCCTGAGCCATCATTCCCCATTTCACTCCTAGCACTGACAAGGTAAATGTAAAGACACTGTTCCACAACTTTAGCCAGTTCCTACCAACTACTGCCCAAACCCCTTCAACATCCCAAAAGAATCTCCATTACCATCATGTAGAAGCTCGTGGTCTCTGGTGACAGGTAGATGTGCAAAGGAGAGCTACTATTACCCCCTCTTCACACACAAGAGGCGACTCCAACCCTTACTGGCAGCCATGGATTGTGGACTGTCAGTAGTAGGTAGAATTCTAAGATCCAAAATCCCTGCTCCATGGTGTATATACCCTGCAAAATCTCTGGGACTATGAATACAATGGGATTTTACTCTCATGATCATGTGGATTTTACTCTTATGATTATGTTAATTTTAAGAAAATGGGATTATCCACCTGGATAATCCTGAACTAGCCTCAAAAATCTTTCAAAGGTGGGTCTGGAAGAGAGAAGTCAGAGAGATTGGTGGGTGAGAGATTAGACAAAAAGTATATTCTCCATAGCTGGTTTTCAAAAATCTGGCGGGGTGGAGGGGAGGAGCGGGAATATGGCAGAGAATAAAGGCAGCATCTATAAGCTAAGAGTGGCTCCCAGATGTCAGCCAAAGAAGAAACCAAACGTCAGTCCTACAGCTGCAAGGAACTGAGTACTGCCAATAATCTGAATGAGCTTAGAAGTATATTCTTTGCCAGGGCCTATAGACAAGAAATCATCCCAGCTGACACCTTGATTTCAGCCTTTTAATAATATCCTGAGCAGAGAATCTAGTCACACCGTATCCGGATTTTTGATGTATAGAACTGTGAGCTAATAAATGGGTGCCACTGAATTTACAGTAATTTGTTATGTAGCAAAATTAATAAGGAACTCCTTGGAGGGAAAGGTTGTAGGCTGCTGCTGCTACTGTAGTCGGTAGATTTCCTTCTAGCTTCAGCAACACCGCCAATAGGAAGACCAGAGGCAGACTATAAATTTGCCTGGAAACTAAAGAAAGGTCACCATAATGGTGTATATACCTTTGAAACCACACTGCATTCATTTCCTCATATTTATAAATACCAGACTGTATGTATTAATTTGTTTGCTGTTCGTCTCATTCATCATAATGAAAGCTCCATAAGAACAGAGATTGTTTCCTGGTCTCTGCAGACTACTTAGCACCTTAAAGAATGTCTGGCACATAGGCATGCAATAAATATTTGCTGGATAAATTGTCATCAACCAAAAATCACAGTGGCTAGGCATGGGGCTCACACCTATAATCCCAGCACTTTGGGAGGCTGAGGTGGAAAGACTGCTTGAGCCTAGGAGTTTGACCCCAGCCTGGGCAACACAGTGAGACCCCACCTCTATAATAAAACAAATTAAAAATTAAAAATAATCATAGTAAACTGTGTTATATATAAGATTTTTTCAAGTCACTATATTATCAACTGGAAAAGCTGCATCCAACTAAGTCCATTCTAATAAATGATGTCCCTTTAATACAAAAGACAGGTATTTCTCCATACAGTTGTTTCATACATGCTTCCACAGATGTCTACACTAACACTATCCAGTAAAAAATGCTTGTAACCTGGAAAATATATCAACAACAATAGAACGGTGTTTTAATAAACAATATGATAATGGAATCTCAATATCAACTGATTAAGATGGGGAATTTACTTTCGGGTGATACAGCCAATTCATCACCTCTTTCCACACAACCCTCCAGAATTCAAGAATCCTGATATGCTTGAAGAAACTGAGAACCAGAAAAATCTCCAGATAAGCAGCAGAGCATATTTCTACAGTGACTCACATTTACATCTAATTTATTTGTTATGCTAAACTGAATGTTGCTCAAAATTAAGTTTAAAAGCCCTCATGTAATGCAAAACAAAACGTTAACAATTATACCTTCTACTAAATATGATTTCAGGCACCTACAAGAGCAGATAACAGCAAGAGATATCTAATTCTCTTTTAATACATCTCTTCTGCTAGAAACAATTACTTCTACTGCTATTCCAAACTTCAACATGGTACATTCCAAAATGATTCACTGGTTAGTTGGGGGGGTCATGAATGTCTTTCTACCCCCACAGAATCACTGTTACAAATGGCGGTTAGGTGCTGTGAGCAATCTGTACTTCAGGTACATTATAGAGCTTTATGGCCTGGCAATTACACTATGTATTTATTTATATCTTGTCTCATTCTTTTAAAGGGGAAGGGTGAGGTTATAATCATCATATGTAGCAATTTAATGATTCTTTTTTTAAGGACGGCAATTCCTAAACAAGTCTTTTTTGAACAGAATAAGTTCATCTTAAATTGGGACCATCTCAATTCAGCTTGAAAAGAAGGCAGGGAAAGCACATACATTCCCTTTAGATATTCTTTAAAATTAATTTTATAATGTAGAGAACAACAAAATATTATTATGCATAATCCACAGAAAAGTAGAATGATTTTATCACTAAAATTCAAAGAACTTCCAAAAATGTGTTCAGAATTAAGGGACAAATTTTCATTTTAAGGATAACAAAAACAAAAGTAAACCATTAATACATTCATTCCTCCCCCATCCACCAAAAGTAAAAGGAACTTCACATCTATGACCAGTGTTGGTTCACACCTTTGCATATGACTCACAAAACTATTTCTCAAAATTATTCTCTATCCCTATTATATATAATCACATTTCCTCAAAGTAGGATCTATAAAGTGGTGGAATTCTTCCTCTTTAGGGACAGTTCATATATAAAAAGATGACAGCCTAATTCACATTTAAGCTTGTATCTACAAATTTCATTTACTCAATTATTATTGTTGAATTAAATAAGCCTGCTAAGGCTCAATCATAAGACCAGAATCATAATCTAAAGAATGTTCTAATAGTTACTATATTTGAAAGCTAAGAATGTATTTTCCTCATTGTTAGGTGCCTTGTCCACATTTTCATTTACTAATTTATATTCTAGATAAAACTTCCTAACACACTGAGGAAGTATTTTATTAATTCCTCTCTATTCCCACTGCCAATTCCTCTTCCTCTGTCACACCTTAGTGTTCCCCACTTTAGGATGTGTGTTCCTCACTTTAGGTAGAACCAATATAATAACCAATCATGTCATGAGAAAGTTAATAGCTTTTTAATTCCTCAAGACTTCTAATTACAAGATCTTAGTCACTTCATTTCATTTGTTATTGTTTTTTGGTTTTTTACTGGGCAGATTTAGGCTGGAGAATTTAGCATGTAACAGCATCTCTCTAAGAGTTAATATCATTATTTTGTTATTTTAATTTTGCCGTTGCCAACTATTCAAAGCAAGTGAACTAGTTTTCCATTTACAGCACCAATATAAAGTTTCTCTTTAAATAAATATATTTAAGTAAAAGAGTCATTTAAAGGTATTAAGGAAATAACTGAATCTTGGAATGGCCCTCAAAAAAACTGAAGTGTCAGAAACACTACTCTGACCAAAACTGTGGCCATTTCTAAACTCAATTTTTTCTCCACATTTTCTGGCTTATTTGACGACCCCAAATTCTCAACTAAGCTCCAGATTCCAACTTGGGATACTGTACCAGCACATCA